AGATCAGTCATTTCAAATTCATTCATTAGAACCTTCTTGAACTTGGCTATCTCCTGTTCAGAACTTCCAGTCAATAGTATATCATCAACATATAAACATACCAGAGTCATATTGCCTTCAGAAGTATGCTGAACATAGACACCGTACTCCATCTCACATTTCTGAAAGCCTTGCTTCTTGAAAAATGAATCAATCTTCTGATTCCAAGCTCTGGGCGCTTGTTTCAATCCATATAGAGCTTTGTATAATCTGTACACCATCCCTTCCTGATTCTTTTTCACAAATCCAGGAGGTTGTGACACGTAAACTTCTTCTTCTAATGGGCCGTTCAGAAATGCAGATTTTACATCTAAATGCATCAGAGGCCAATTCCTGTTAGCAGCTATTGCAATCACCATTCTGATTGTTTCATGTCTTGCTACAGGTGCAAACACTTCAGAATAATCCATCCCAGGTTTCTGTAGGAATCCTCTGGCTACCAACCTTGCTTTATGTTTGCCAATTGAACCATCTGGCTTTAACTTCTGCTTGAAAACCCATCTGACGCTGATGGCTTTCTTGTCTTTTGGAAGTTCTGTCAGCTTCCAAGTCTTGTTTCTCTCTATAGCATCAAGTTCTTCTTTCATGGCCTTCAGCCAGAGCTTCTGCTTAAGAGCCTCCTCTGTACTTATAGGTTCAGAGTCTACTAACATGGCACACTGAATAACTTCTCCTTCAGAGTCTACTTCAGTGTCTTGCAGCATGTCAAATTCTGCAAATCTTCTGGGAACGCTTCTGATTCTTTGTGGTCTCTGAACTTGTTCAGAGTTTTAAGCTTCAGAGTTTCTAGCTTCAGATGGTTGACTTCCTCCAGAGCCTTGGCCATCTTCAGAGTCTGAATTTCCACCAGAATCTGGATTACCATCAGAGTCTGGATCATCAGAGTCACCTTCATCTTCTGAGTCTTCTCCAGAGTCAGAATCACTATCAAAGTCAGAATCAACTTCAGAGTTTACTTCAACTTCAGAAGTTCTTAACTCTGACCTTTCTTCAGAAGTTCTAACATCAGAATCAGATTGAGACTTATCCCAATTTCAAACTTCTGATTCCTTCACAATCACATCTCTGCTGAGTTCAATTTTATTGGTTTCTGGACAATAGAGCTTGTATGCACCTGTACTGTGGTACCCTATCAGAATCATCACTTTGCTTCTATCATCCAGCTTCTGTCTTCTGGCTTCTGGAACATGTTTATAGCAAACAGAACCAAACACCTTCAGATGACTAACACTTTGCTTGTTTCCAGTCCACTTCTGCATTGGAACTATTTCCTTCAACTTCTTCGTAGGACATCTGTTGAGTACATACGTTGCAGTGGCAACAGCTTCTCCCCAGAGCTTCTGAGGAAGCTTCTTCTCCTTTAGCATGCTTCTCACCATATCAAGCAAAGTACGGTTTCTTCTTTCAGCAAGACCATTGTGTTGAGGGGTATAAGGAGCAGTAACCTCATGCTCAATTCCATTCTCCTCACAGAACTTCTGGAACTCTTTGGAGTTATACTCACCTCCACCATCAGTTCTAAGAATCTTCAACTTCTGACCACTCTGATTCTCAGCCTTCATTCTGAACTTCTTGAATTCATCAAACACCTCATGTTTAAATTTAATAAGGGATACCCACGTCATTCTTGTGAATTCATCAACAAACAACACAAAGTACTTATTCCCTCCAATTGATGCTACTGGAAATGGACCACACACATCAGAATGTACAACTCCCAAGGCATGTTTTGCTCTTGGAGCAACTTCTGATGCAAATGGCAATCTTGGTTGTTTTCCTTCCATGCAAACTTTGCATGACTTTTCAGGCTTCTTAATTGCAGGAATTCCATGTACCAATTTCTTTGAATTCAGATGTTGTAAGCTTCTGAAATTCAAATGACCAAATCTTCTGTGCCACAACTCACTCTCCTTCTCAGTACTTGTTGCACTAAGACACTCTGAGTCTGCAGTTCTGACATTCACCTTGAATGTTCTATTCCTTCCCTGTTCTGACTCCATAATCAACTTCTCATTACAGTCATACAGCTTCAGAAGATTGTCCTTCATGGTAACTGAGAAACCTTTCTCAATTAATTGTCCCACACTCATCAGATTGCTTCTAATGCCAGGTACATACCACACATTCTGAATCAATGCTATTTTCCCATTGTTCAGAGTCACTCTGACATTTCCCATACCTTCTGCATTAAGATATTTGTCATCAGCACACCTGATCTTTGTTCTCTTTTCAGAGTCAAAGTTAACCAGCCATTTCTTGTTTCCAGTAAGATGATTTGAACAGCCAGTGTCCATATACCACCAGTCTATCAGATCCATATTATCAGATTCAGAGGCCATCAATAGCACAGATTCGTCATCAGAACTTCTGGCTATATTTGCTTCTTCTGATTTCTTCTCCTTGTTTGACCAGCAATCTCTAGCAAAGTGACCAAACTTCTTACAACAGTAACATTGGATCTTCTTCTTGTCATACTTCTCTTTTCCCTTCTGAGCATTCTTTTGTCTATCAGAGGTTGAGCTTTCTGACTTTTGACCACCATCAGATCTTCTCCTGGCTTCTGACTGCTTCTGATACCTCCTATCAGAAGTTGCTTTCAGAGCCTGCTGCTCTACTTCCCTTTCAGAAGTTCTTTCAGTCAAACGCAACTCTTGCGCTTCTAAACTGCTCTGCAGCTCTTCAATTCTCATGGTACTCAGATCTTTGGAATGTTCTATTGCTACCACAATGTAATCAAATTGAGAGGTAAGGGATCTCAATACCTTCTCCATGATTGTTTCTTCAGAAAGAGTTTCTCCACATGCCTTCATCTCATTAGTGATCAGAATCACTCTGGAGATGTATTCAGAAACTTTCTCATTATTCTTCATGTTGAGATTCTCATATTGCTTTCTCAAGGACTGAAGCTTCACCTTCTTCACTGATGCGTCACCACCATAACATCTCACCAGAGTGTCCCATGCAGCCTTTGCTGTTGTAGAGTCTGCAATCTTCTCAAACACGTTTACATCCACACATTGATGAATGAAAAACAATGCTTTCTGATCCTTCTTCCTTACTTCCTTCTGCGCGTTTTTCCGTTCATCGGTTGCATCTGCTGCTACTGGAACATAACCATCAGTGACAAGATCTAGAACATCTTGAGCACCAAATAGTACACGCATTTGGATCATCCAACGATTCCAGTTTTTACCATCAAATACTGGAAGTTTGGTGTTCATGTTGCCGTTTCCGTTCATCTTCTACTTTGCACAATACACTCAGATTTCTCACACAGTGTTTCCCAACCCACAGAATAAAATTCTGATCAGATTTTGTTCAAGATTCAACACGAATCTAAGAATCAAAATCAAACACACAAGACCTCACGTTCACTCGTGTTTCCCGTGTTTCCCAATGAATCTGAACCGGAGCTCTAGATACCAATTGTTGGTGCAAAGGTAGAATAAATGATGAAAGGTAGAAATATTCTATTTAAGAATGACGGCAGGAAAAACAGGATTAAGAGTTACAATGATTGTCACCCTATTTATAAGCTAAAACTAGGGTTACTAGAATAAGATAAAATACTAAAATACCCTCTAACAAACTTATGGGCTTAAGAAAATAATATAATAAAATATGAATTATTACTAATACAAAGTGGTTGAACTTAGGCAATTGAACCGTTCTGGGAGCAGAAGTGGATTGGGCCATGCCTAACCATTGGGTCAGTCCGGAACAATTTCAATGTGTTTAGCTCTGGAGTACAAAATATGATTTATGGATAAACAAATTGCAAAAGTATTATCATAGAGAATATGAATGTTACTCTCATAAAGTTGATAATTATCTAGCTGATTTTTCATCTAAAGTATCTGAGTGCTGCTTCCAGATGTAGTAATGTATTCAGCTTTTGCTGTTGATAATGTTATTGTTGATTGTCTCTTATTAGATCAAGAAATAAGATTATCACCTAAAAACTAATAGCTTTCACTAGTGCTCTTTCTTTCTAGTCTATCTCCAGCATAGCCAACATCGCAATAATTTACTAACTTGTAATCTTTTTATTTTCTATAAACCAAACCAAGGTTAGTAGTACCTTTCACATATTTAAAGATCCTCTTAACACCTGTTAAGTGGGATTCTTTAGGATATGATTGAAATCTAGCATAAAAACATATACTGAATAAAATATCAAGTATAGAAGCGGTCAAGTATAAAAGAGAACCAATTATACCTTTATACATATTTTATTCTGCTTGTTTGCTTTCATCTTTTTTCAAAATGCACATTAGATGTATTAGAGTCTTTTTTGATTTGCACTCTGACAAGTCAAACTTCTTTAAAAATTTTCTTGTATATTTATTTTGATTGATACATGTTCCTTTTAAATTTTGGTTGATTTAAATCTTTATAAACAACTTTAATTCTCCTTTTATACTCATCTTAAATTCTATCTTAATAGACAAAAAAATTCTTACAAATAATAACATTAACATAACTAAAAATAAATATATATAAAGAAAGAAAGAAACTAGAGAAAATGATTTTAGGGATAGTGCTAAAGAAACAATGAGTCTATGATGAAGGTAGGTAGCAGTGATTATTTAAACTTCATTATATCCATTTTTGTCAAAGACTAGTACTGTACTCTAGTCTACTTTTCATATCACAACACAAAAGATCACTCTGAACCATGCAAACGACCAATCTTTCCTCGTTTATTGTCCCATTTTTATAGTATTTCCTCTGATCAATGATGTAAGTCTCAAAAAATATGACACATTTTTTCAATGTTTAATAAATGCACCAAACAGAAAACTGTCATTCTCATACGCAACACTCTCTTCCACGTTACATCATATAAAAAAACAAAACAAAACCCTTTTATGCTACAAACTACAATTTCCATTTTCTGCATCCACCACTACTTGATCATGGTTCTGTGATTTGTTATAACAGCTAAAGACAAACAAAACATGCAAAGGCTCAACACAACTACTGAATCATCCTCACCACTCTATTCTCATTCTTCGTTCTTGTTGAGGTAGTTAATAAATTGCAAACTGTTTTTCTGTTTGCTTTTTTAATATTTTTTATTAGTTGGAAAAAGTTGAAAAAACAGAGTTACTCTGTTTTGAAACAGGGGAGATGAATCTAATCTTAATCCAACACGTTTCTTTGATCCTCATCTTTCATTTCAACAACACTATGTTGATTTAAGTAAGCTCAACTCTCTCACTCTCCTCATCGAACAATGTGCTTATAAGTGGGGACCAATGTTTTTTTTCTTCATTTTTTAATTATAATATTCAGGTTCTATGGTTGGTGCGAAGTCTAACAATGTTGCTGTTGCAGCAAGTAACTTGCAGTATGGAACATTCAACACTGTACTAATCTTCTTCTTTTCTCTTTTATAATTTTTATATAAGTAAAAGTTTTGAGTATATGTAACAGCTTAGGGTTGAAAACTTGAAATGAAATGCAATGTTTTGTGTTGTGTAGAGTCTTGGTTCAGCTTCTTCTTCAGGCATGGGAGATAATACTCAAAAGACTGAAGATACTTCAACAGAAGATATTGATACTGATGATAAAAACAATCAAGTACATTTTTTCAGTTTTTTTTTCTCTCATTGAAAATCAAATCAATGTTTGGTCATGTATGAGGAAGAGGTAATGTTGTATGTATGTAACATTGCAGTGTTTTTCTACTGTGTCTTGGTGCAATGGTGTTGAAAATGAGGCTCTTGTGGTTGTTGATTCCAAGGATCAATGTAAGACTAAGGATAAATCTGAAGAGCAGAAGGTTCTTGCCTTTTTCTTCATCCACTTGTATTGTGAATTTGTGCTATTGAATCCAATTTAAATTATGTTAATGTTTTTGTTTATGTGGTTGCGTTTTTCTAGAATCTTCGGAGGCTGGTTCAGAATCGCGAGGCTGCGAGGAAAAGTCGGTTAAGGAAAAAGGTAAGTTGTTGCTTTGATCCTAACCTGTGTAATGTGCATGTTATATTCAAACTAGTTTCTGGTTTGAGATGCATTAGAGGGTTTAATGATTATCTAAGTCGACAAATCCGGCCTATGTTATGCATAGTTGGACCTAAGTCCAGATAACAGAAGAGGGTTGTGTTAGGCAGTCGACAGTTAACGTAAATTTGCCTCCAAAAACTTAAGACGACCCTGGTCAGGGTTCGTGTAATTCGTAAAAATAATCATTCTATATAGCATTGCTCGGATGATTTACGTGTTTTAGCTTTATATAGGCATACGTGCAACAATTGGAGAGCAGTCGACTTAAGCTTGCTCAAATAGAGCAAGAGCTTCAACAAGTACATCAGCAGGTTCAACAGCTTTAAAAGTTTCCATTAGATAAGATAGTTTTGTTCAATTTAGTTTCATTCTCATTTTACTCTTCGGTTTTTCTTGGATAATTTTTCCCTCTAGGGTGTATTCGTTGCAACCGGAGTTACAGCGGATCATGGTCATTCAGTCGTGGGAAACAGTAGTTCAGGTGAAGCAACCATAACACTTTTGATATTTTGGCTGCAATTTATGATGTGAGCATCTATGTGACTGATGAAGTATTTTAAATCCTCAGGCGCGTTAGCGTTTGATATGGACTATGCTCGTTGGGTCGATGAGCATCAACGACTAATCAATGGCGTAAGATCAGCTATAAACTCACAAATGGGTGATAATGAACTTCATCTTCTTGTTGATAGTGTCATTACACATTATGATGAGTTATACCGATTGAAGCGCATAGGTGCGAAAGCCGATGTGTTTCACATACTTTCTGGTTTGTGGATAACACCTGCCGAAAGATGCTTCATGTGGCTCGGTGGTAACCGTTCGTCTGAACTTCTCAAGGTATGTGGCGATAATCATGAGTGGAAAATTTATAAATTCTGTTCTCGTTATAGCGATCGTTAGCATTTTCCTTTTCCAATTGAAATTCAGATAGTTAGAAACCATCTCGATCCGTTAACGGATCAACAGTTGATGGGGATCTACAATCTGCAGCGTTCTTCTCAACAAGCCGAGGATGCATTATCTCAAGGCATGGAAGCATTGCAACAATCTCTTACCGAAACACTTTCGTCCACCACCAACGGATCGGGAAATGTCGCCGGGTACATGGGCCAAATGGCCATTGCAATGGCCAAGCTAGCCACACTAGAGACTTTCATTCATCAGGTATATAACTAATCATTTAATGTTCGCATATTCCACAATTAATCGAGCTTAACATTTATAAATCTCATCAACATTGTTTTTCTTAGGCCGATCTCTTGAGGCAACAAACACTCCAACAGTTGCGTCGAATTTTGACTGCGCATCAAGCTGCTCGCGCTCTCCTCGTCATAAATGACTACATTTTGCGAATTCGAGCACTGAATTCATTATGGTTAGCATGTCCTAAAGAGTAATACTAGGGAATCGACATGTTAACTTCTTCGACAAGAAACCTTATTTTCCTTAACCGCCGATCTAATTACCTACCTATTCATATTTCCTAGTTTTCAAGAACAAGTTGTGGCAATGTTAAGCTTGAAACTAATTGCATTAAACAAATTTCACAAGTTCATTATATTCTCTCTTTTAATAACATTATTATATGTACATAGATATATCATGAAAGATAATTTTGCACAACCTATTCTCGCTTATTTTTCAACACATTTTCTTTGAATGAATCATCATGATTCATAAACTATATTATGAGCAAGCTATACAATGTTCAAATTTCCTCAGCATATGCTTCTTCATTTCTTATTCACCACTTGTCTATAGGTTTTCCTCCTCCTCCTATTGTTCATTCTCTCTACAAAAGAATCAAAAACATCAAAAGAGTGAGCAAAGAGAAGCCTTTCTCGCAAGTAGTTCGAACTCCAAAAACTATTGTAATGATTAATTTAACATTGAAATTTTGTCGAATTTTTATGACATGAATCAAATTGAGCAAAACTATACCTGGTTTATGATTTTCTCTGCATGAAACTTGAGGAATGAACACTCCGGTACCTTTACCATTCCTCCACAAATTCACTAACCAAATCGGCGGCGATTCTGTTTCCCACAAATAAAATTTTCTTGTCGGTGTCGTTAAACTGTTACTAAAGCTATAATTTGAACCATCATTAGCAACATTAACACTTCTAGTTTCAACAAAATCTTCATTATCTTCGGATGTCAACAACAGAATCTGTCTCTTAATCTCTACATAAAAAACATCATCCTCGTACTCTGAGTTCATCTCCATGACAAGATTTTCCTAAGAAAAATGAATTTGTACATGAAATATATTTGGTGGTGAGGTTTATGTATAATATAATTGAGGAACATAAGAGAAACATGTTAGTGGTCAATGAATGTGTCCAAGTTGGAAGAATATTTTGCAATTTCGTATGTTAGCAAGTGTGTGATCTTTGAGTACTTTAGTACGATGTTGTCATATTGAAGGTTTTAAGCCAAATCTAGTGGTTCAAAATTTACAAGAGTTTTTGGCATTTACTTTTTAGTGACATTAATGGTCATTATTCTTTTATCATAACATCAACATCAAGTATGCTTATGATTTGGGTTAAGATTAAAGAAATTAAATATATTGATTCTAGAATTGGCTTGATTGTGTTTTAACTAATAGAAATGGTGTTAATTAAGAGAATCTTATTGGTGTTGGATCACTTTTCATGATAACTAACAATATAAGGGTCAAACTTACATGCTCATATTTGTATTGTTAAAACTAATTTTAATTTGAGTTTGTTTTGGTATAAATACAAGTATATAATTTAAAATGTTAAATTACTAAATAGGTTTTATAAATGAATAATTTTATCTTCTAAACAGTTGGTGATAGTAAAAAGAAAAACACGTTCGAATTTTACTTTCAATTGATGAACTAGAGCGGAGTGAAACATAATGAATCGTATATTTCATTTTATAGTTTGAATATTTTTGTTAATTTGATAGAACGAAACATAATTAATTAATTTGGCTAAATTTTAATTTTGGTTTTAGTTTCATGGTCTCTTATGATTTTTGGTTGGTTTTTTGATTAATAAATATTACTTGGTTGGTTCTTTAATTAATAAATAATATTGGAATTTTGTGTAACAGTAAATAAATAATATTGGAATTTTGAAATCCATCTTGATAACATAACTAAGCTTTTACATTTGTGTCAAAAAAAACTATACAATTTTGCAGTTTATACATACTCATCCCTACATACCATGCCATGAGTTAAATAAGCTGTTGTAGAACAAAAGAAAAAACTGCATTTGATTCCTCAAATAGCGGCGTTTTCTCGTATCGGATCGTCATTGAGTCGATAATGAGTTAAAACTTCCCTGGCTCGAGCACTCCGATATTGAAGTCGGTGATGCAGTGTCTCGGACATCTGGTTGAAAAACTCAGCATCCCATCTCTGAATCAATAAAGGGTCTTCTGCATAACAGATATATATCGACGTAACAGCACTCTCCACCACAACCATTGCCAATCCAACCTGAAAACAAAATTACGCCACATTCACGAAATTGGATTTCCTCTAAACGCGATCACAAAACTTAATTTAAAGGAGATTGGAGCTTACCAAAACCATTCCCATAAGCATGGATGTGGAGCCAATCATAATAACTCTGTCGCTCCATTTAACCCACGCCCATGCGCCAGAGCAAGTTCCGGTTATCAACCCGCCAAAGACGGTGCCCATTAGCAGGACAGCGCCTGAACAATCGTAGGCCACAAGTGCCTCGACCCCGGTTGACTGAAATAGCTCCCACGCATCTCTAGCTGAATGGTTAAAGCTTTTACCGTTAACAGCTATCTGCAAGTGACATCGAATCACCATCAACCACACTATTGTCATGGTAAATCAATAACCTGGTTAATGACATGAACATAGATTTAAACCTGAACATAGGCATATTTGTTAAAAAATCGAACGAGAGTCTCCACAAGATGAAAAAGGAAATCAACACAGCAAAGTAAACACTCGTTGTTGCCAATCTTTGACCGAAGTCCACGTATCTGATAGAAAAAATCAATATGTTGATAGAAGAAAAAAGAAAAAGAAATTAACTTCAATTTCTCAAAAGAAGAAAAATGATTTCTTGCCTCCCATCGCAGTGTCCTAATAGCAGCAGTGAATAACGAGCCATAACAAATGCTACCGAAAGATGTTGTTAAAGCATACTGTAAAGATTTCGTTAAGGAGTTAGCGGGAATCGAAGCAGCCTCTCTACCACCATGGAGTAGAACAAGAAACACCATCCCAGACACGATAACGTGCACGGTATTACAGAGCACTGCACCTGTCCAAAATAAGCTTACAGAGAAAATCTGCAAGCGGGAAATGTAATAACAGTGTCATCAGACGAGGAAAGGTCGAATAGTAAATCTGCTTTGGTAACCAGTCCAAACAAGAACATATAGAATGAAGAGCAAAACTTGCCACCTCACCACAAGAAGCCACCAGCGTCCCCCATCACTCAAGTTTGAAGCCACAACACCTGCTGCTCCAAATGACCATAAGGCCATCCATAAAAGCACAACAAACATAAATGCTATTGATACTCTCATAACCTCGGGAAGATTCCAAACCATCTTCACAGCTTTTTGCAAAACCAACATCGTAAATGGAAGCCTGTAGAAGAAAAGAAGCCATGAGGAACCGTCTTATATACTCAAAAAGAGAAAAAGAAACATATTATAAAGTATGATTTGTGTGCAATACCGGTCTATGACGGATATAACATACAAGAACTGGAGAGCAGCGCCGATAGCAAAAGCAACCCCCCAGAAAATCTGCTCGGTCCAGAAACACAAAACACTGATGACAGCGAGATAAGTGGTCAGTATGTGAACAGAAACCTTCATCATTTGAGTAGCCCGGGAACCCAACAACAACATCCAAGTCCATCCAAGAACAGTCCCAATTCCACCAGCCGCCCCATAGAGCGGCCAGTAAGTCTCGGTCAACCCAGCTTCATTCCCCGAAAGACCCGAGGTGTACTTATCAATGTCAAGCCTATTCTCTATCTCAAACCTATTGAAGCCAAGAACCCCAAGAAGGAATCCTAGTCCAATCAAATGGATCACAAATATCCCTAACCAGAAAACATCATGCCACCGCCGTGATTGTTCCGCAGCCGCCACTTCACTGCTGCCGCCACTTCTCCTACTCCGGGCCGCAGTCTATCCCCATAAAAAAACAACCAAATTTAAAAATTATAACATCATTCATGACTCTTTCATAAACCAAGTCAAACAAAGTCAATGACAACAATGAAAAAAAAAGATCTTTTTCCATTAAAACAGAAATTGGGGCACCCCATACGTGATTTCTTCAACATCAAAATAATAATTCTAAAAAAAACACAGAAAAACAACATAAAAATAGAATCTTTTTCCATTAATTGAGTACCCAAATTAGCATAAATTAAAATGATGCAAAAAATAGAATACCCAGATATAAAAAAAGAGTGAAAATAGTAATTTGAATAGAATAGTAAAGAAAAGAGTACCTGATCAGCGGTGGCTATGGAAGAAAAGTCAGAGGAAGAAGATGAGATAGTGGGAGAATCCATCAATGGAAATGGAGAATCATAGTATGAATGTATGAAGAAAAAGGGTGGAAATTGAAGGAAAACGTGAGTATGAAGGCGATAGAAGGTCAATGGGTATGGTATGATGGTGGAGGATTAGTATAATAATTAGGGTTTTGAATAATATAGAAGTCAGTGATTGAATATTAAAGTGAGAAAGAGACTTGAAAAATGGGAAGGTTGTGAGAAAATGTGAGAGGAAACTGAAAGTTAACGGCAATCAATGGAAAGTGTCGTTTTCGTTTGGTTTTTTCGTAAAATGAAGTTCTGTCTTCAACAATGGGGTGACACTTTCAAGTATATAAGTAATATATTCATTTTTTTATATATATATTTAATCACATTTATTGTTTTTTTTTATACCAATCACATTTATTGTTATATGCATAGGAAAGGAACATAAAGTTATTATGTGTAGTAATAATGTTATTCGGACTAGTAAAATATTTTTGAGACTCAAATTGCCTAACTTGTCTTTCCCATGGGTCGGGGTATCTCCCCGTTATATTACATTTGAAATTAATTTCTTAACTTCTCTTAAGAAAAGAAGAGACCTCTCACTCATTTGAATCCAATATTTTTTTTAATATTGCTTTTAATATTTATTTATGCTCATTCAAACCAAATATTTTATCAAATTTTTACTCATTTTAATTTAAACTAAACACATTTATCTCTCACATTTGATAAATTTCTTACATCCGTGTTTTATTTTTATTTTTTATGCATGCAACTCCTTAATAACTTAATAGACTATAGTTAAATTATATTATGTTACATTCAATAGAATTGTAATTTCTACTTAGATTTTGTATGAATTTGGAATATTTGAGGGTTAGGGTTAACATTTGATATAGTTTCTACTCTCTGTGTGTAATCCTAATTTATGTGTTTATCATTTTGTTTTTTAATTATGTTTACTTATACATTATTTTCGTTTCTTTGACTATGATATGTCTTTTTTTGTTTGATTATAGAAAAATGGCTAATGAACAACAACGATGCATACATGGTCGGTTGTCCCAACATGCTTCAGTGTATCGAGAGAGAGCAAAATCAACACAAGTTGTTAGAGAATCATCTTGTGTTGCCGAGGGGCCCTCTTCTCATGTATCTCCGACTCATATTGAAGCATCAGCTACTCCTATTCATGTTGTTGTACATGCAGATGATCCACATCCTGCAGTCCAACTTGATGATGTTGTACTTGTTAGCTTTTGGGAGACCCCGAAGACATTTCACTATTTCTTCATATGCACACAATGTTGCTAGGCCTGTGTGGGAGAGAGAGACAACATAAATATTTATTTACTTTTTTAAACATTTGTTTTATACTAAATGAACTGTTTGACATTGATGTATGTATTTTTGTAGTACAGTGAGACGTTGAAATGAATAACCATGGTAGAAAAATATCAAATATGATGTAGTTTGATGAACCATGGTTTCAGGAAGTCTTAGAGATATTTGAGTTGAAGGACTTATGAATGAGTATATATGATTATATTGACCATAGTTTATTGTCTGCATTTATTGAGAGGTGGAACATAGAGACGTCGTCATTTCATCTTATGATTGATGAGATGACTATCACCCTTGATGATGTATTATGCCTTCTACATCTTATGATTCCAAGAAGATTATTGGATCACTCTAGAATTAGTAGGTCTTAGACACTCAACTTGATGGTGACACAATTAGAAGCTTATTTAGGTAAAACTCTAAGGGGGATATAAGACACTAGAGGATGTCATGATAAATTATTATTCCTATTAGAAAATTATATTAACCACCTATATGCTGTAATGGATGTTGCGGGTGATGGTGCATTGATTTTCTATCATAAAATATGTGCAATGAGGACATACTTTACGATTTTGGTTGGTACAAGCTGAAGGGGATAGAAACACAATAAAGGGGGAGTTTGAATTGGGTTTCACCAAATTTGTTCTTTTCTTCAAAATTCAAACTTCAATGTTAACAAAGAATGAAAATAGATTAACAAGATTATTTTTATCCTAGTTCACTGTTAACAAAGTTACTCTAGTCCACCCACCAAGGTGATTTCGCCTTAGACAAAGACTTAATCCAATAATCTAGAAAGATTACAACATCTAAGTGTTAGAAAACAACTTAGCCCTCTCATTATCCAGACTAACGACTTAGTTACTTGAGGAATAACCACTTTGAAAAGTGTTACAAATGTGTGTATAAGAGATGCTTCTAAACAATCATATTACACAAGATTAAGTACAACAAACACAAAAGTGTTTCTAGAAAGATATGAACAACAATTCCTTGCAAATATACAAAACTATCTTAAGAATAATCTCCAAGAGATTTGCATCGTATCAGCATGAATTTTGTTGCTTAAAAGCTTCTTTTAATGATTCTCTCTCTTTCTTGTAGAGCAACACTCTATCTTTGTTGGAGCTACAAGAATCTTTTTTTTTAGCTTACATCTTGGTGTTTTGCTTCCGCTTTGCACACATACTATTTTCTTCTTTTAGATGAGCTCACATTTCTTCTCTTTGGCTCTTCTAGCTCTCAGCACATCATCTTTCTTTATTTGTCGTCGCTCGTCACTTTCTTCAAGCTTTCAGATCTTCAATATATAGAGCTTGAGAATAAATTCGTTGGAGGGTATAATAGGAAACAAATTCCAACTGTAGCTTTTCAACGTTCACTTAAAGGAATGGTCACATCATAATATTAAAAGTTTTCCTTGCGCCACCTTACCGAGGTAGAGGTCACAGACTATTTTGTACTTTTATATTTAGAATTTTATCAACCATTCTTGATTTTCTATCTTCTAATTCTTCAGATGTATATTTGATTAAGCATATTGTAGAGAGACCAATACTTGTAACTTCAAAACCTAAGTCTTTAGAGTCTCAGATCTTCGTTCAGTTGAACCTTGTCTTAAGAGTCTTCAGCACTTGGTCTTTTAGAAGTGATGTCTTCAAAAACTTCAAAACTCGTTCAACAGAACCTCGTCTTCATAATCTTCAAAACTTGTTCAGCACATACTTGTCTTCAGAGTCTTTAGAACTTTGTTCAACAAAACCTTGTCTTCAGAATCTTCAGAACTTTGTTACAATAGAAATGATGTCTTCAGAAACTTCAGAACTCGTTCAATAGAACCTTGTCTTCAGAATCTTCAAAACTTGTTCAGCACATGCTTTTCTTCAAAGTCTTCAGAACTTTGTTCAATAGAATCTTGTTTTCAAAAACTTCATAACTTTGTTGCAATAGGAATGATGTCTTTAGAATCTTCAAAACTTGTTCAGGAGAACTTCATCTTTAGAAACTTCAGAACTAAAAACATTTAGAAGCACGTCTCTTAGAAAGCCTTAAAGGCTTTACACACAAAGTCATGATTAGAAGCTATAGTACTAACGTTCTTCAGAACCATTGTATTATGAGCATTCTTGAAACTTGACTTTAATAAGGAACACCATATGTTTTCTTCCAGAGTGTTTAAATTAGAGTATGATAACGTCACACGCCTTTCTATTAGAGTCAGATCTTGTTTAGCAAAAGTTACACACTAAACAGAAACCATAGAGTATCAAATTGTTCTCTAAGATAACATGTGCAGTTATCATCAAAACTTAAGGCCAAATGCAGGGCCAAACTTGTTCTTACAATCTCCCCATTTTTGATGATGACAAAAAATATATTTTGATAGAGCAATTCGTACAGGGTAATAACCATAAAACACAGAATCCGAGTTAAGCTAACCAGCTCCCCCTAAATTTGTTACTCTCAAATTTCATTTATGCTTGTTCAGAGTCTCCCCCTGATCCCAAGACTCACAAAATAATTTTAAAGTATAGAGCATAAGAACAGAGAAGGAATACTTCTCAGTGACGTCTCATCAGAGTCTGACTAGAACTTCCTGGTCTTCATCTAAGAACCTGACTTGCAATCAGAACATGATTGACGTAATCAGAACCTGATTGACGTAACCAGAACCTGATTAGTAATTGGCTTGATGCCTTACATCATGTATCAGAGCTAGGTTATTTCAATATCTTAAACATGTCACCAAGGTGCACAAATCAACATGTCATCAGAAGGTTCAAAACTTGAATAATTCATAAATGACCATGTCTTAACTGGATATCCATAAGGTCCACGATCTTTGAAGTACTAGAGTCTAGCTACCATGCTTTCAGAAATTTCACAACTTTTAACAAACCTAAGGTATCAGAGCACTCATAAATTTCTTTTAGATTTTCCTTTGCTTCTGATTAATGAGTGGTCAAAACCAATTCTTCATTGAATACTGTATTACATCAGAGCAATTTTGTTTAGAGAATTCTTCTTGGTCATAACTTCTGATAGCCTGTTCTAGAAGATAGTGAAATTTTACAAAGTTCTTGATCAAATATTAAACACATGTTAGGAGTAAAAGCATATTGAAATATGTATTTAGGATCAATATTCTGAGAAAAGGTATATCAAAATCATTTCACTTTCTCTCCCATTGTTGAAAATAAAAAAGGAATAAAAAAAACATAGTCAATACAAAATATGGCGAGATCATTAACAGAAATACTGATAAAGGATAACAGACCAATAGATAACATAATAAAGAAAAGAACTGAAAACTTCATTCATATTATGGAAGGAGTACAAGCAAGATAGATAAAGGAACAACAAAGAAAAGGCAACACAACCATAGCTATTTAACCAGATAAAACAAAACCATAAGAGCCAAAACATCATGAAAATCCAAACACCTAAGGACACACACTAGACACAGAAACCACAAGACCTAAAAACGACCAAACACCACACATCTATCCAGCAGACACAACTACTAATCCCGCAGACACAACTACTAATTCAGTAGACTTGTAACCACCTCACACCTTTCTTCAGCAACCGCAACATCCTATACAAGCCTCTTAGCCAAACCAATGATTTCACCTTTATAGAAAAGTTCTGAAAGAGCCCTTCCATAAGGTATGAAG